GACTGCAGTGGTCAGAGGCTCAGCACTCTGTACTCGCTCCTGCTCTTGAAGACCAGCGACAAATAATTTCCTACTGAGGCAAGACCAAGAGGTCAAAAGAGCACATATGAATACCATCTTGCTTGCAGCAAGTGGGTCTGATAATTAGATCACCTGTACCTTTAAATGTACAATATTTTGGGCATTTCTTCAAGTGACATAGTATATGTTTCAATGACTGAGAAAACACTCGGACATCTATGAATTGCAGTTATTGTTGGAGTCTTTGCCTGCAAAGAAAGCAAACAGAGCATTCATCATCCAATTCCTGTAATCCTATTTGATTTTGAGGTGGATGGGAATATTGCCATACAGCAATTAGCCCAATGTTGTTATTTTAATTTGGACATGGCTTATTTTCTTTTCATTGACATCCATCATGTTCTAAAATAGAGGATATTTTCATCTACTGTTGCAAAAGCTGTTTAACTACACCTGTTTGCTTGGGGGAGTTTTATGCTTTCTCCATTTCTAACTTTATTTCAAAGTGCCCACACAAGAATTCCCTGCGAGTCTGCTGCAACCAGATTTCTTTCTAGTTTTCCTGTACTCCAATCTGAAAGGCTATTGTGATCTCCCCCTATTTTGGGGCTGTCATTTTGGATAAACCACCTGCAAAGACCAGCAGTGTCATTGGGGGTGAATCAGTCCGTAGGGGGCAGCGCCAGGCTGAATGACTTCACCCTCACCCAAAATTCTAGTTAACTGCAGTTTCCTTGGCACTTGCCCCCCGATAGATGTGAGGAAAGAGCTGTGCACTTTTTTCTTTCACTCAATACGTGGTATTACCAAACCTCCATTTATCATCATTGACCAGTGAGATTCGCAATGTTCAACAACTCAGACAATTTTTCTGTGAAGCTCCTTCTGTTGGCTAGGATTTGTTGGGTGCTTATTTAGAAACGCTAATCATTTTCTCTCTGGGAGCAGCAAGTACAACCTGCTTTCCCTAGAACAATTATTTACAATGCAGAAGATCTAGAAAATATTTTCCATCATTTTTATATATAACACTATGCCAGCATCAAATCCTCCAGTTCAACAATGTTCACGTGAAACTGGGATAAACTTTCCAGAAAATTCATCATTATGCCATCATCATTTATTGGGGGGAAAAAAAAATCTATATATACTGAGGTACATGACTTCTACTAGTCATTTCTTTACTAAATCATGATGTCAGAGCAAAGCAAAACTATCTGAAACTCAACTAAAAGGAAATCTCGGAGACTTCAGAGATCTTTCTTGTTCCTGCTTTAATCCTTGGGATGCGTTTCCCCGAACCAGGTGGGAGCAGAACAGCGTGTGGTGTAACTACAGTGTGTGGGTTTGGTAAATTCACATCCTCCCAAATGATGCTGTATTACCTCTTCCTCCCACAGAAACGCCATTATTGAACTGACTGAGGAGAGAGAAGGTAGAAAAAGCCTCTCATACTTTTCCTTCATCACAGGGAGATAAATCTTGAAAGCAGGACCACTCATAGAAGTGATGTGGAGATTGCTGCCCCACAGCTTCCACACGTATGTGTTGGGCAGGGGAGGGACTTTACTAGATTCTTACCAAGCATAGCCCCCAAATGTATTTCAGAAAGGTTTGTGAAACCTTTCTTGGCTCAAAGATTTAGGCTGATTTCTTAAAGAAATGTGATTCTCTTGTCCTCTGAAGTCCTCCCTCATCTTCTTCTGCCCCAACAAAACAGAGATAGTGAAGTACAAAAACCCCGTTAGTGCCTCATTGAGGGAAACACCGTAGCGTCAGTTCAGACCTCAAACCCCACTGACCTCACAGGGAAGAGATACTTTGCTTCTTCCTGCATCGCTGGTAAAGACTGTATCAAGTCAGTAACAATACAGTTAATGTGTCTTGTGTATTGCAAACGCTTTCAGTGGCATGTTTAATAAAATTAGATTTCTGTAAAACACAGGCCTTGACTATAATTAAACTGAGCCATCCATAAAGATACCGGTAGATAATTTAGTTGCAGAGAGCTATGTTTTGAAGCAAGTAGGGATTTGTTTTCAGTAGCGAAAGCAACCTATTGATTTAGACATGTTCTGCTAAAAATATGAGTTTTACTGCTATTTGTTCTTTGTGAATAGGGTTGTTTGAGTACCTTTTATGTTTTATTCAAGCCTCCAATAATTATCAAAGGATTTCCTTTTAAAATGTTTAGCAATTCAATGAAGTACAGAACTCACATGGTTACTTAGTTTCTTTCAAAAATATTTTCTCTGTGAAAGCTACCTTGCCTTCCTGTGGCTCAGGGTATTACAATTCTTATTTTGTGAGGGGAAAACTAAGTCTATGTACAAGCTTCAAATAATTGGTTTTCTTTTGGTGACAATATAGGCTTTTATTACAAAGCCCAGATTTTTCAGAGTACTGAAGCACAGCTGGTGTTCTTTGAATGGGGGAAGTTGATGTTTCAAATTCTTGGAACCTTCAGAACGTTTTGAGATCGATCATGTGTTTTTTCATGGTAAACTGGATTATTCAGAGGAGTGCTACTAATGAGAAAACAAGCCTGTCATCTCTCCAAGCGTGGTGTAACCTACACAGTAATGATCAGACACAACCTGATTACAAGTTACTGGTTTTATGTGGACACATACCCACAAACATCATATTATATGATATGTCTTCCCTAGCATATCTAATGAAACGCGTACGTTTTTTGCTGAGAAGTGACAGAAGAAAAGCATATCCCCACACTTCCTGGGAGACAGACCAGTGCAGAAAAATTCACGGAGGTCAATGCTCTTTTCTTATCAACAAGGAAATTCCAAAGCTGCTCTTTGTGCGTGGATAATAAATTGCCCAACAGCTTCATTTAAGACCGGTTCTTCCACAAGCCTCAGTTTTGACACAAGTTAAGATGTAAGCCTTCTAATAGGTAAACACAAACAAATTTCTGCTTTATAAATAAAAAATAATGCTTTGAGTTTCAATTAACACTGAATGGCAAAAGAACTCCTCAAGAACAGATAAATGTCTGCCCAGACAGACGGACAACGGTGCTGCATCACAGGATGAACTTCTGAGTGGTCCTCAGGGTCAGAGCCAGAAACTCCATTTCAAGAGCCAGTCAGAAAACTCCATGTATTGACAATTATAGTAGGCTCATTTATGATGGAAATGAATTCTAGGGCTGAGCTAAGCACAAAGCTGAATATCGAGACCTTAAAGATTTAAATCGGGACTAATACCAATTAAGATTTGAGCACTTGGACAGGTGTTGAGAGTTAAGCTTGTTGGCAGCAAACTTTCTACAATGGTTGCCTCTCTCTAGTGTACTCTGGCCTCCCACAAGCTTCCATTTTCTTTTGTTCACACAGACCCAGTTTGTAGACTCATTCTGTCTCTTCAATGTTCTTTCCCTATTTTTGAACTATTTCTGACATCTGCCACTCTAAATAATTATTCTTGGGCTGATATTTGCCTCTGAGTTTACCTTGAGGTACTGATGGAAAATTCCATAAGAAAGCAAATTTCTTTACCAGTGACAGAACAGCTTAAGTAATATAGATGATACATAATTCATCATAAGGGATAATGAAAAGAGTGATACTGATTTTGCAATGGTCGGTGTTAGACAAGCAATTCAGTATCTCTCTAAAATTAACTCATTAAGTATCACGCTGTATTCTGAGATAGATATTTGGAAAACAACTTCATCTCTGTAAATGTTAGCTTCTGCAGCAAAGTTCCTAGTAGGGTTTGAATTTCTCTCTCCAAGGCTTTTTCCTGCCCATTATTTTTACCATGAGACAGCCAGGTATTGGCGAGACATCTGGGAAGGTGCTCAACAGTCTTGGACTTGGAAGAAAGCCCACTGAAGTTCATGAGCTTGCAATTGCTAGTGTAATGCTTTTTGCCCTGGGGTTCATTCTGCATCCTAAAACAAATTACACTGAAGATACAGAATGATTGAAAATGGTGACTCTTATACAGGGGGGCATGCACTGAAGGACAGCCATCTGATGTGACCATTATTTGCTTGCTCCTGTAACTTGAGGTTACAGTATTCCCTTTTTCCATAGTAATGTACCTGGCCACAATTCAAGAAATAAGAAAAAATCCAGAGCAACAGTAAAAAAATGTCCAATTTTTTTCCAAAGAAAGCCTCAATAAGTGATGATCTAAATGAATGAAGCTTGATAAATATGATAAGAAAAAACACAAACCCACTGTCAAGCATGTCACCTGGCCGTAAAAAGAACCTGTCAGACAGAGCTGAGAAAAAACTTGGGAGAATCACTATCAGAATTCAGGCAAAAGACAGAATAAATGAAAAAAGTTTAAAATAGTAAGAAATTAATTATTTGCCATTTTAAAGGAGCTTTGCTTTCCTGATTGTATTAATTTATCACTGAGCCAATACACTTTCTGCTAGTGCAAGAGGAAGGAAAGCTTTCTTTTCTGTATAATAGGGCACTTTCAAAAATACTATACTTTTTCCTAAGAATTTTGCTCAACTACCTGAAGAAATCATACACACATACATGTCACAAAAATTGGTTTCAGACAATTCAGAAATAGCTAAAAATTTGTCACTTGCAAATTAAATAGTTAATTATGCTAATCTCTGAAAAGAAGTGACAATAAAGGAATCACATTTCTGGTCTCTATGCTGTCATTTTTTTCAACCATCCAATGAATGAAAATGTAATATGCATTACTAGTTTTACTTTCTGCTTTGGAACTTCATTCTCTGAGCAAGTCAATTTTACTGTAGCTTCTGTTCCTGACAAGCTATTAAAAATAGGCAAAATGGTTTACAAAATCAGTTTTGTTTTCAGCCAAAATTAAAATGATTCATACTTAAATCAATGGACAGCATGCAGAAAAATAGAAAGGTTCCTATCAAGAAGGCTTGGGGTGAGAAGTCATGTTACATGTTGATGTTCAGCCAAGTAGTAAACAGTGTCTGATTACCAACTTTCTTTTTTTTTAAATAGTTTGATGCAGACAGAGATGAAGAAGAAGTGTTCTTTGACATAAGTTCGGCAGTTGACAATAAACTATTTGCAAACAAAGAGGCTGCAGCAGGTGAGTTAATGTAAGATTTAAAGAACCACATTTTTTATACTGCATTTGACATTGGTGGGATGCCTTTTTTATATTCCTCAAGTATGGATGTAGGTACTGTAGCAAAGTCTTGACCGACCTCAAACATTTGCACAACCAAGGGCAAAAATATCTCTTTACACTTGGAAACTTCATACAACCCACCTAACATCTTTTTTATCAACAAGCTGACCTTAAAATACTATGGATAGTCCACTAAACAACTATATAATTAATACAAAAACTTTATAAGTTGATCGATTCCAGTTGTCAGCTATCTCTTTCAGTTCCAGATGATACCTCAGTCTTCACCAGAAATCCAGTCCTATGAGACTGATGATCATACTTCCTCCCTAACAATTGGTACTAATTCTGAAACTGTGTGTGAATATAAGTCAGGCGTTTGGGGGTTTTATTTATTTATATATTTATTATTTGTGCTTACTGAGGCTTGAATGTGTTCAAAGAAAAAGCCTTTGAGGGACAAAGGACTGCAAAAGAATTGAAGCTAAAAATCAAAGCACTGAAAATCCGTAACATCTGTCAGAAATATTTTGCTTGAGGGGAACAGGAAAACGTTCCTTGGTAACTTCACAACTTTTTCAAGATGGCATCCCTGGCTGCATTCCAAGTAGACCATGAGGGTTATATAGGTAGATGAGGTCATAGATGTCATGTGAAACAGCACACAAAAAGAAAAAGAAAATTCTAGGTGAAATGTTTTCCTGTAAAATTTACTAGCTTTATTAAAACAAAGATTAGATATGTATAGCAGAGAAAATCGTGTATCTGATCTCTCCTCTGTTTAAGTCATAGTTTAAGTCATCTACCATAAATTGGCAGACAGGGTAGCTTCAGTTATTTGTAATCGTGAACAGTCATCTGGGGGCTGCCAAGGAAGGAGGAACTGATGAAGGACAATGAAGTTTAGTAGTAGCAATACATCTGTTGTCTCTTTTTGACAAAGGGGGGATTACTTTTTTGTACTAGCAAGTCATTTGCAAAGAGCAGTGCTTCAGGCAGAGAGATTAGGTCATATTTTGAAGATTTGAAAGGGGGTTCCAAGCTAGCTAGCCTACAAAACCCACCCATAAGGCTATTTTTGATAATGTTCAAAATGAGATAAAGATGAATTATCAAGGTGGGGTGGGGGGATTGAGAATAATAAAAAGTGCATTAGCTAAAAAACCAGGTTTCTAGTGGTCAGCTTTGAGGTAAGATGCACACGAGAATAAAGACTACTAGCTTTCTCCCTTAAGTGGCACGCTTACCTCTTTTGTGCTTAGCCTTATTCCTAGAGGCAAGAGATTGATTCCAAACCTAAAATGGCATTCCCACTGTATAGCACTGTATTGATAATTACGTGTGGATTTCCTAATTAAATGAGCTAAGTAACTGAATAGCAAGAAGAGGAAAGAAGTGGCATAAAGGTGCTAGCTCTGACAAACTGATTGACAAAAGCTAAACAATTTGCACAAATTGGTTGTGATTCTGGATGAGTTCCAATCAGTTCCTTGAAAGTCTAATAAATTCCTCACCAAAATAATAGGAGAGCTATGAGCTTTATTAGAAGCCATGCCACAATCATTTAATTGGTGCCTAACCTGAGCACCAATAATAGTAAGGAGATTCGAAGTAGGATTTCTAGAGATCCTATGAGACCAGCTATTTAATTTCTAGAGGTCGCAATTCCAGCATTGCCTTGATCTCACTTTTTGTCTTTTAATCATATCAGTGATATTGCAATATATTTTGGTTCCTGGTGGCTAACGTAAGCATGGTATTTCTAATATTTTCATGCCTCCATATCAATCTAATTCATGTTATACCTGTAAAATCCAGTTGTAATCAACTGTGTAACAATATATGCTGAAACAAAACAACTGAATATTTTTATAGATTAAAATACAATTTTCTTATTGTTGCCTTCTGTGATATGTTAAGACTGTTGCTAAGAGCAACACCTGTCATGAAACTCAACAGTATAAGGTTGCAATAAAATTTATATTAGAAGCATCTTACTGAGAGCAAAATTAAAATGTAATCGTTCTAATGCTAATCAGTCCTTCAGTAAATTATTTCTATTATATTCCACTTGAAATTTATCTTCTAAGCATGTCTTGCCCAAGTGCTTATATACAACATGTATTAATTGAGTTATTAGACAGTGCTTCAGAGCATGCTCCATAACACAGAAAGACATTTTTATTTTATTGAGCTTAAACATGCTATTAAGAGAAGCAACATGTTTCACAGGATACTCTTAGGTTACTTTTATGACAGTCAGTGTTGAACAGTGCAAAAACTATAGTTGTTAAAATAGGAGTGTGGGCATATTTGAGCCAATGAACCATATTGAATATAATTGCTACCAGGATTTGAAATAAGTAACGGATTTAAGCAAGGATTGGAAATACATTAGCTGATTTGCCAAAACACAAATGGTCCAAGGAGCAGACTTAATAAACTCACATGATGGGGTGTAGCTACCTTGTAATGGGAAGTTAAATCAACTGCAGATAAATTTAGACAGATCAGTACAATTTAGTTTCATTGTATAAATGAATCCAGTGAACTGTGAAAAAGCAATGCCTGACATTTGCATTCATGAAAGCTTAAGGATCAACACACTTTCAGAGAGAGTGACACGCACCCAGGCTCAGAACACTGAAATGTTTTATAGGACCAGAGACATTTACGGCCACGATGCCCCTGGGTTCTGGGGTGCATTTCTGTGGTAGGAATCACACACCTGCCCGTAACAGCCATACCCTCTCAGCTTTCCATGACCAATCCTGTGCAATTCAGCTTAGGAGCACCAAACAATATGTAAAATACAGCATAAAATTTAAAAGTACAGCCTCGTGGTGAAGGAATCAACTGAGCACAGCCCCGCACCCCTCTGGGGGCAGGGGAGTCATTCTCCCTGACTGTCAGACCTGGCAGGGGTAGCTCCTGTCAGCGCACCCTTGTACAACTGCAGCCACCCATTAATTCAGCTCGTCCCTCAGGCTGTGTCATTGGGTCCTCTTGGGTTCCTAGCAAGACAAATCTTTATGAATGATGCCTTCAGTGTCAAGATACAAAGCCTAGCAAAAAAAGGGAATGCATTCTAGCTGATCTGCTGTTTCTTTTTTCAGCAGTCTGCTCCTCCCTGGAGAGCTGATTATTCGGTTAACAGGGATTTAATAAAAACTTCCAACTGATTTACTTTTTAATTGTGCAGTACTGTAGCTAATAAAATGCTCTCTGTTTTTTCCCCTAAGGAAAATACAGGGCACATGAAAATGACCACATTTCCCTTACCTCAACTTTATGCATGCACTGAAATTGAGGAAGCCTATTTTAAGTCATAAGAGCACCTTTTCAGATCAGGTGCTTGCAAGCTATTTCTCCATGGCAGTAGAGCTTTCATGCATTTTCTTAATTTTTATTTTTTAACTGTTGAGTTTCCCCTTTTGAAATTGATACAGTTACTCAGATCGTTTGCAATAGGTTCATACAAGCACACAAAGGTTCTAAGTTAACCAAGAGCTGAGATTATCTGGTGGAATGGGGCATCCCTTCGAAAAGAATTAGGGCAGTTCGGACTGTAAGACTTTCCTCCTAATGGTAAACAAGTATTCTTTTTTTTTATAGCCTTGTTCTCACTGTACCAACTTATCAAAGGAAAAACAACGCAACTCAGAAAAGGCAATGAAACTTACTTATGATCAGCTGTTTTGTTGTCAGAGCACGAGATGTGCAGCCTGCAGCCTCACTGAAAGCAGCAGGGCATGTTTGCTTCCAAATGCTTTAACCAATCCTTCTCTTTTCCTTAAGCCAACATTTTGTGTTTCTCCTTTGATAGCTGAACATTGCCACAAGTTTTACATAAAATGTTGCTGATTGAAACTTGGGCTTAGAAAACTGGAGCTGAGTTTTGAATTATCCACTCTTTCTAACACTCTCCCCTTGGCTTTAACCTTGTCAGTAGCTTTGCCTACCACCAGGATTACTGACTCTCAGTACCTTGCAAAGTGGCTGTCTGGTACAATTCTACTGCCACACGTACTAGCGATTAGTTAGTGAGCCTGTTGTCCTCCCCTAGAAGACCTGTTTTAGCAAGATTTAGTCCAAACTCAGGAACATATGCTCCCTCCAACAACAAACTGAGCTGGAGGATAGCAAACTACTCATGCTTATTCATACTGCACCAGGGATATCACAAGTACTCTTATATGTTCCCTCATTACTTTATCTTGCCCTGGGAGTAGCCATTTGCTTCAATTCATTTCTGGTAGGTTTGTCTTCAGGCAATTTGAGAAGGGTAGAGAAGTCTGTATACTGTTTGGTGATAGATGGTTATGGGGTTTGTTAGTTTTCATAGAACCAAGAAAGAAAAGACACATATTTTCAATTTTCCTGACCTTCCTTGAATATACTCTAGAAAGAATCTATGCTTCCCCAAGGAAACTGGTGTCCAAGTTCAAGAAAAAAGGCCTTAAGATGCTTGTCCATATTAAAATTGTATAACCATTATGGCTTTTATCACTTAAGATACATTATGCATGAGTATTCATTTTCAGCCTGACCTTTAAGTTTGCAGCACCATATTTCATATTAACGTTTCTAGCTAAGGATACGTACTGCTCTCTTGGTAGTTAAGTGACAGTTAATCAAATACTTGCACACAAGTGCCTTTAAAAGTGATTGATGTGTCAAGGTAGGCCAGTGCTGATGATGACTGAGGCTTCGTTCAATTATATTATCAACAGTGACACAATGTCAAGAGTGAGATGTCAGCTGTGTAAAATAAATAAAAAATTAAGATTCTCTCAGCAGTTGTAAATCTGTTTGGTTGCATATATCTTTTACAGACAGGTATTTTCAAAAGACTATAAAGTGTATATGCCAGAGAACATGCTGCATATATACATGTGACATTCTATGGTAGCAAGAGTATAATCCCTTTCTGTTATTTTTTTTTATAGCAATCTGATAAAGTATACATAAACTTGGGGGGGGGTGAGTGGGAACGGGACGACGACAACAAACACACCAGCAGATGGTAGACCCATATCTTTCCCTGGTACCTCTTACGTAGTCCAAAGAGTTGCATCAAAGATGAATTTGGCAGCAATTGTAATATGGATTGCAAATTAAGACACCCTGGAATCATCATCTCTACCAAGCAGTTATAGTTTTAGTCATCATGACGTGCAGGTTGCTCTCCTCTGTTCTCTTTTAGTGATGTTTAGTTCACCACCTACATAGATTATTACTCTGTAAACTTTAGAAGCAAACAAAAGCAGGTAACGCATAAATGCATCTGGCACAAATTGAACTGCAAAATCTGTTATTGATAACATTTGTTACAGAGAGCCACCCATACAAACATCTCTAATGGTGAGAAAACAACTCCAGGTCATCAATAGTCTTAAAACCATGTATCCTCAATGCCAGTGCTTGCAGGAACATCATACCAGGTGGAGACACCTGTAACCCAGGTAGAGACACCTGTAACCCGGGAGGGAGGGAGTTGTTTTCTCTTCCTCATCAGTGATCTTGTCTTACTGGGGACATGAGGGCACAAACCAAAGCACATCTTATACTTCCCCTGGCGTTACCTGTTGTTCCCCACATGAAGGTAGTGATTGGACTCACCTGTGGCTACTGGCTAGTTACAATTTTTAGATCTTTGTGTGTCATTACGGTATTTTTGCTGTTCTCATTTTAATAATGCTGTGAAAAATACTCCTGTAGTCACATGCCTATTGGCATTTTAATGTGCGTTGAATACGTGCAGGATTTGGTGTAGGGCTGCACCATCTGGAGGGCACAGGAGACTGTTTCCTTCCTCGTTGCCCAGGAGTGAGATAATCTGAATGGGGTGATAACGCCAGAACATGAATATGATGTCCATGCTACACCCTTCCTATGTTTATATAGGAAGATGATTAGTAGTTTATCCTCCCATTCTGGTGTAGCAATGACTACCCCCCTACATGACTTGTTGAAATACCAAGCCCAATTTCTGTTATCCTGCACCTTCAGCAGTTCAGCTGAAGCCAAACTGTAAAGCTCAGCCAGGTCAAGGTTTCTCAGCAACTGAATTTTGTTATCCCAAGTGCAAGAGGCTGCATGACTTGCTGATCCTGGCACAGGAAAGTGATGGGGAGAAGGGGCAGAGCCACACTGTCACCTTGGAAAGGGGTAGGATAGGAATGGGGACTGTTGCTGCTGGAAGCATGCTGCTTTGGTCCCCCATCAACATCACTCCAGGATCCTTATCTGCTAATCACCAATAGTCAGTATTTCCTTTCTCTTTCCTAAACATGGTTTGTATTCTCCCCTGAGCCAAGATACCTGTGGCAATTTTACAACTGCAAGTCATGGCATGCAGAACATCCTGCCCAATAAATTTGCAGTCTAGCTGAAACAATTCACCATTTAGTATAACCATTCCTTATTAAGATTTGTGATAGCTTTTATGGATGCTTTGAAGGCTTTGTTAATGGAATACCATTCACCCGGGTACTCTAGCACATCTGAATGGTTCCTTAGATCACAGTTTTTGCATACATACAATTGGAAATATTATAGTGTTCCATCACATAAAGTGAAAATTTCCAATCCATTCTGAAGTCTAATTTTCTTTCCTATTTTAGGGCCAAATGAACTTCATTGCAGTCTGATTATGGATTCTGGAGATACTGTTTATACAGAATTTGACTTTGAAGACCAGGTAATTTTATGTATATATGGCCTCTCTCTAGACAGTTTTCTAGTTTATGTACATACTGTGCTATAGAATTTGTCTAACAAGGTGGTGGAACTTTAAGGGTACCTAAGCAAAGGGCTTTTTAAGTGCAATATAAGTAAATTCATGATACGCAGAGGTTGCTTTCTGGTTATGAGAAAAGAGTGACTATTATTGTGGTAGTAAGAGCCCATATCTTCCATTACTGTACATTGCTGAGTTTCCTCTACAAATTTTAAAATGTTGGCAAACATGGCAAATAGGATTGTTGGAATGCACTGTAAGTCTACTGTATATTTAAGAAGAGGGAGTAAAACATTTTTCAAAAGAGAGGCATGAAAGTACAAAAAGTGTGAAATGTAACTAAAACCAAATCAAACATTCTCCCCTTGAAAAAGTGTTTTTAAGAATAAAACAACAACAAATGCTTACAGCATGTTGAAACCAGCCTTTCTACTGATCCCGTTCTATCCACATCTGAAAACTAAATTTTGATAGCGTTTTCCTTGTACATAGGAAGAAAGAAGGCTAGAGAGGGGGGAAAAAAGTTGTATACATCTTTCCTCTCTAATGTTCACCTCAGCACTGGTAAGGCCACATCTGGAGTACTGTGTCCAGTTCTGGGCTCACCGGTACAACATACGGAGCTACTTAAGAGAGTCCAGTGAAGGGCCACTGAGATGATTAAGGGACTGGGCCATTTCTCCTGCGAGGAAAGGCTGAGAGAGCTGGGAGTGTTCAGCCTGGAAAAGAGAAGGCTCAGCGGGGCTCTCATCAATGTGTACAGAAATCTGAAGGGAGGGTGCGAAGAAGATGAAGCCAGGCTCTTTTCCCTGGTGCCCAGTGACAGGACAAGAGGCAGTGGGCACAAACTGAAACACGGGAGGTTCCTGTGTCTTGGATACTGTGCTAAGGACAAACATTACTATTCTTGTTACTGTGCTGTGGATAAGCATTAAAAGAATGACTTATAATTAAAAAAAAAAATGAAAGCCATCTGCCTATCATACCGCCATGCTTAAGGGTGGTATTTTTGTATGTTTTGCTTTCTGTCTTTCACTTTTGCACGACTCCGCTTGCATTTTCTTCACGAAGAACACAAACACTTCTCTAGATTTGTGAGCAGCTTGGCAAAGAATGCTACTTTGTGTTTCTGTTATCATTCAACTAAATGCAGTTGCGAATATTCTCACCTCTTTCCTCATTATTCGCAAAAGATATCTTTTCCTGTGAAATTTTAAAGCTAGTGACAAAATCAGGACCAACAAAACTGAATTTTCGTTCAGTATCATCTGTTCATTCATTGGTTTTCTTTCGCAGTATTCAGTGCAACACTTTATCCTCACCTGCAACATGTTATATGTTTTAGCCCTATTCACTTCTGTTAATTTACGATCCTTTTACTGTTCTTTTTGGCTGTTATTTCAGTTTGGCTTTTTTCAAGCAGACAGCTCGCCTCTGTCTCCAAATCCCATTTTAAATCCCATTCTTTCATAAATCCTTCTTAAAACATTCTGTACCCCAGGAAGCTCTCTTGAGTTTCTCATCATCTTTGTCTTGACTCTGCTACTTCTTTATTGCAGGGTTTAGGCCTTTATGCCCTATAAAGCAGAATGTATATTTAAATCATGTTTGGACTATGTTGATGTTAAATTTTGCATTTTAGTGACATTCTAAATACGTTCTTCTGGCAGACTATGAACACTAAAGAAATTATACTCTTGGTTCATAATGTTTGAAATGCTATTCAAATAATAAGCACAAGTTTTATAGTTACAAAATAAAATTAACAGAAATATATGAAAATGATACTAATTTATGATTTCAGATGATATGGTTCACTGATGATACATTTCACAGTCCATAAAAGCACGGACTGTAGTTTTGAATGAAGGTGCGTGTGGTTCTTACGTGAGACTAAACAAGCCTACAATGGGACCTTATTTGTCAATAGCAAATATTGTTTCTGACAGATGTGGTGGTTAGCTTTTCTCATTATTTTGCCAGACCACCACATTGCCATTCTGGCAAGAGTCCAATACTGTTATTAAACAGAGAAGGAGAAATGAACTAAAAACAGTGCTAAAAACCCTTCAGTCAAAGAGAGATCTAGAAATATGAAGTGGCTGACAATGACTCTCTTCAACTGCAAGTTGATATCTTTGATACTTATTAGTGACATTTTTAAAAATATAAATATTTCTATTACTAATAAATATTTTTATACCCAGTTCATGAGATGCCTTGTACAAATATAAAGAAAATATAAAGGAGAAAGCAATTGCAATCAAAAGCCCTTACCATCTAAATTTTGAAATGGTGCAAGCAGGTATTGTATACAGAAGCAAAGAAGGCAGTGGAGATTACCATAAAGACATAATACCATCTAGCTACCCAGTCTAAAAAACAAAATTAGAAATTACTCTCAGGAAGATCAATAACTAAATTCAGGAGTGAGGAACTGCTCGCATTCGAAACTTGAGCTCGTTTTGACTGTGGCAGTGATTTAATACTCCAGTGATTTACCACATGCTGTTTACGAATCGCGGGAAGCACCAACAACCTTTCCTCAGAGACTCTCAAGTGGAAAAGGAACGCGTGTCTGGATACAAATGTGTCATGCAGTGATATTATTGCATAGGAAATCTGTCATGAGAATGTGGGGGATAAGAAGGCTGGTTTCTAAGCAACCTTACACAGCTGAGCTGCTAGAAACGGCTAGATTTTAGCAGAACATCTTGGTAGTCACTGAACAAGAGGAGCTGGGGGTTAGAGCAGTACACAACATGTACTCAAGACAAAGCCACAGCTGGGGATGAGTATCGCTTGGCACAGCTGAAACGGACGTACACAGATACCTTTGCATTTTCTCATTCTTGGAATGAGCCAGGAAAATCTCCAGTGTAAACTAAGCCAACAAACTAAGCCAACAAAGAAGTATCCGAGTTCTTCAGATGTATGCTACTTCTTCCAGAATATCCTCTCTTACTGGCAGGCAGGAACAAGGAGAAGGAGTGGTGTGGTTCCAGCTACTGAGGTAGTCGTCAGCTCATCTAGGAGTGCTCCAAAATACAGCGAAATGCTTCGAGAAACACTTGGTACCTGTTGTTGAAACAGTGCAAAGCAACACTAACGCAGGCTAAGATCTGGCTTTTCTGGAGGAGTACACAGGGGAAACAATTAAAAATAACTCAGACAAAGCTTGAGCTTTGTATTGTACATTTTATAAATGAACGTTCAATTAAATTCATGTAACTAAATTAAAAGCAAGCTGATTGTTTTCTACCGGCTATGCATGAATGCTTCAACAACTAGAACACTTGTAATCACTAAGTCCCTACAGCATTGAAAGGCAGGGGGGAAATACCCGCTTTTTAAAAATAAATAAATAAATAAAAAATTCTTCAAATCACTGATAACTATTTTTCTGTTTCTCAGATCTGTAGCTGTCAGATTCCGTATTACAGAAGGAATAATCTAGGTTTTTAGAATGACTGCCCAAAATATATTCTTCCAAGAAATAAAAATAAGAGCAGACAGTACCTCTCATTAAGGATGCCTCGTGGAAGGACCAGCCAAAGTTTTACATGGTAGCAATCTCTATAGCCTTTTTTGGAGTAATGATTACACTACTCATGACTTGATTGAAAAACATAAAAGCACAGTAAACCGATAAGTTTCAGATATTCTCACCCATATTATGACATCAGGAATATGTTTTGGGCCACTCATTTTTGGGTGCAACAGCATAGCTTCTAACGAGGGAAGACCTGTGCTTTATAGAATATTCTCAATTTGCAGAACTCGCTGTCGTGACTAGCATCTGGTTTAATAAGGATTGTCTTTTGCTGCTGGAATGCTCCCAAGTGTGATACAGGATTTCACTGCTCACTCTGTTCATTTACACTTGCCATTCGATTTCTCAACTTTGCCAGAGAGGCTGTCAATATAATGCCACTTGTTTCCAGAGATCAGACAAGTTTTATCTTTAAGAACTGGATTTTTAATTAGAAAGCTACCATTTGGCTTCTTTCAAGTGCATTCAGGCCAAAAGGGAGTATTGAAAAATTGGCATCAGTGAATCCTATCAAAGAGTCCCAGAAGAAAAGAGCATCCAATTATTTTCTCGTGAAAACAGGGCTTTCAAGACAACCTTAGTCAGTCTGAGGAATATTTAGACTAATTAGAGAAAAAGTTAAAACATACAGTCAGACAACTGTAAAGTGAATACACTCCTGAACAAGTGCTTATAGAATAGATAACTTTAAAATTTGGGAAACATGAAAATCAGGTAAACTTCAAGTAAAAACCTTAAAAATATACTTAGTCTCTTCTAATATTTCGGGGTGAGAGGGGGAATATTTTTCACATCTACAAAACATGGAAACGCATTTTTGTGCCTCAAAGGAAGTTACCAGTTCATAACTGAGGCATTCCTATGTCCTTCCAGTGTCAGACTGCATTTACTTATGCAGTTAGGTAAATGCAATGGCACATGCAAAGGAGAGATTGCCTCCCCCCCACCCCCACAAAGTGTGTCAAAGACCTAGGAAAAGTAGATGTAAAAAGACTGAAAGATAATAAAAGGTTTTCTGTTCAGCAGTGACAAGCGATCTATTGAATTAAGAAAATTGTATAACCCAATCTTTGCTGCAAGTGCAGAATGTTTTATAATTAGAAAATGTGACAGCTCACTTGAAAAGCAAGGAGCAAAACCAAAACGAAGGGGAAGAAAAAAGCCCTCAAAAAGACTTACTCTCATTCTAACGAGAGGAAACAAGCTCTTGATTAAAAGTTGTTGCCATGTAGTGACAATTCTTCCTACAGCTCGCTGTCATTTCCCACCCAGAGAACAAATGAATTTAGGCTTTAGGGGAGCAGGAGGAAAGCTTTAAAACTGATGAAAACCAGACTCCATTGCTATCAACTGTAACATTTCCCGCCTGACTGGTTATCATAGCTTGAAACGTAAATATTCAAGAGAG